AATTGTCGTATACATCTGCCTGTCCAAAGTCAGTTCATGTTTTAAGCCATATTGTAATAGTTAATTGTTATTTTAAGAATATGGTGGGGATGACATCATGCCGTCAAACAATCTATGAGTTCTCAAATGTTTCCTCATTTAATTCCGATCGCATGAAAAACATGTCGACCAGAGCTAGTCTTTCGTCCTGGATAACTAATTTTCAAGAACCTTCTCCTCTGATTTGATCTGCAGGATGTTCCAAAACAAGAGTATATTTCACCGTGGAAAGGAAAGAGCACTACGCAACATTATTACATGCTTACAGCAAATGTCACAACGTGGAATGTCTTTAGGATTATCAGTTGTCACATTCTAAGTTCAAACGTGTTATTTCTATAAAGGTTATCGATACTTAGAGGTTTCATGATACTATAAAAGACAAAGCCTGCAATTATTCTGTCTTACACCACATGCCATTGCAAGCAGGTAAGACGTATTCAAAATTATTGTCAATATAACTATTCATTAGTTCAAATGTGTTAAATAAGAGCAGTCAGTATCATATTCTGTTACACTTAGTTTAATAGTTCGATTAGTTTGATGAGCTGAAACATTCTTTACTTGTGAATCCATTTTTATTGAAACAAAAATATCTCAACATTTAGAACATTTATCAACATACAAAAGAAATACTTTGATACCATATATCAGTAACAATCAATGAAAAGACAATTTTCTATTTTTCTGATATTTTGCATACGTTTTACAATACATGTGTATATGAAGTTCAAAGGTCTCTTACTATCCGATACATGTATCACTCCTTCAACTAATTTTTGTAACTTAAATCTTTCTTATCAAAATGCAGTTACACATCCTCTTTTACTTACAAATTACGAAATTAAGGGGAGGATTATGCCACTATGTTTAAAGACAAAATATTATCATTCCTCCATTCTTTGTTTTGAAATTATCGTCAGAATATATTTTCCTCGTACACCTCTTTAACTGTTGCATTTACCGATTTTTTTTTTTATAATTTTAAGAATAGGTCATCTCTTTTTGTACATATGTACGATATTCTCGATGTATTTGCATTAAATGTTTATGTTTGAATAAGGTTCGACTATAGGTGACTATAATTCATAGATGTTAATATTACAGTCACCATACCAATCTATTTTGTTGGTATCCTTTTGCTTAACCTCTTTGTCAAACTACATACAGATATCGGAGAATTGAGGTCTGTCCTTGAGGAATTTTATTCCAATAGAAACATTTCAAACCCATTTTATATTTTATACAAAACTCCTGCAGCCTGCTGTTCCCATCATTTGCTATATTAAAAGAGAAATGATAATGTTATCGGGTAATTCTGTTTATCGTTATTACTATAAGCCAAAACTTTTTCTCGTGAAACTATAATCTATAGAGTCATTACAGATAACTTGCTTATCATTATACAGCTTTGAATTTAGTTCCAATATGACCAATATTGACATATCTAGATTATACACTGTATTTGATTTGATTTTAAAGTAAGTATTGTTTTAATTAAACTATTGTTATCTACTTTCAGTGAAAAAACTTGAAGATGAAATTTTGTTTTGCTTTAGTGTTGTTGTTACCAGTGGTATTTTCTATGCCACAGAAAAGACTTATTTTTGGTAAGTGCTCACTGGGCAGTGATTTTTTCATGAAGAAACCAAGATTTTTACTCCTGCAGGCAAAGTTGACCTTAGATAAAATTTTGCTCTTATTTTAGGTACTTTTTTGGTCATATAGCTCTTCAATTAATTCGGTTCTTATACATCATTGGCTTTCAAATATTTTGATTTAAGCGTTCCCAACGAAGGTAAATCAAGAAAAGTGCTTCTGAAATTTATAAAGAGTTGATTCCATTTTTATGTTATAAACCCGAAATATTTTATTTCAAATAAAATTGAACAGTAGTTGTACATTATTTGTGTACTATTTTATGATGAAACAGGTAATTGCTTTGTTGTTTTGGTAGTATTACACCTAAAAATAGAGTGATTGAAGTATTTTACTGCACAAAAAACTCCGTCTTTTATGACAGTCGATTAAAGTTTTGAAGCTATTATCCAAGCTCATTTCTAAGATTTTGAAGATATTCTATAGTCTCAAATAATGTTGTTCTTCTGATTTCTTTCTCTCTCTTTTTTTTTTTTCTTTTTTTTTAATGATTCGACAAAAGATCCTATGTTTTGAACTTTTGATTTTGAAAGGTTTTTTGTGATTTGCAGGTTTGGTATTTAATTCAAATTATATCTTTATTCTCCGAATGCGCAAGGTATTTTCAATCTTTTAAGTAAGTGAAATCTCATTTTAACTGCAATATGTTATAATGTTGATACTTATTGAGAAAATCAAAAACTCGGGGTATAAAATCTAACTTATTTTTCTCTCATTTTCAAGACGTTGAAATTTTTTTGGAATAAAAACTAATTATGGGTTTTTTTTTATTTCATTTGCACTTTGATAATATTTTTTTCAGTGCAAGAAAATGTGATTGTTCTGACAGTTTTTGTGTTAAACATTTAAAAATTTGAAATTTTGGCATTCACACTGTTTTAATTAAAATTATCTTGTTATGGTAAATTAAATAAAATATCAAATGAAGTTTCATAATTCATGAACTAAACGTCTTTTTTGGTTAATTTGTATAAGGGGTCTTAATACCTCATCATCTTATATTCCAAATATCTCGTAAATAAATAAATAGATAAATAAACGTATCTTTAATTAAACAATAGTTGTTTCAACTTGCGCATTTAAAATAATTTTCTTTAGTATGAAGTTGTATTTAGTTTTTCAAATTGTAAAGTTGAAGTCATCACTTCGAAAGATTTAGGGACGGTATCGCGAGTTGCTTGAACGTTATGGAATATCTGTATCACAAATGACCACGGGTATGTTACAATTGTCGGAACCACAATCCCGTCCTCTTTTTTCCTATTGCGCTATCAGTGAACGAGATTATTCACAGATATAGTACTTTCATGAACAACACGACCGGTACCAAATGTGGAGCAGTAACAGCTCAACTTTCCGAGCACTTGAACTCATCCATGGTTTGTGGTGGGTTTGCTTTGGTCAGTCTTTAGGTTTCTATGTAGTGCTTGTGGACTTGTTCATCATTCTGCCGTTTCTCGTTTTTGAGAAATGGCGATTCAGCTTTTCTTCGACTTATGAGTTTTGAATGTTCTGTTGGAATATTCTGATTTTTTGTGACAATTATATAGAAAAACAATGCATATAGGTCAACATATTAAAACAACAACCATTTGAAAGAGTCTCATAGTTTAATGCAGAGTCAAAAATTCTAATTCGATCCAGTGCCATTTATCAATGAAATTTGTTTCACTTGCTCCTCGATTAATACAAGACAGTCTTGGGAAAAACATTTGCTGTCCTGTTGAAGTTTTACTGTTACAATAGCAAAATACCATCAAATAACATTTAGATAGAAACTTAGGGACGTCTTGAAAAGTTTATATACTATTTGTATGAATGAAAAAAGATAATGAGTATATATCAGTCAGAAAAGAACCACGCGTCACAAAAGAAAACGAGGATGACATTTACAAGCAGACATACGGTCTTCAAGAAATGAAGATGTCTATATAATATGACAAGCTCTAAATCGTCCCCAAATAGGAAAATGTTTCTTATAAAGGATATTTGTAGTTCACTAATAAGTGAAACCTTACAAATTATTTATATCATAAGCAGCTTTTGAAAGTTGTGACAGACTTTTTCTTATTTTAGATACTTTATTTGAAACCGATGAACTGAAAACATTAGTAGATGGTTTAGCAGGTACATTAGGTACTGATACAACTGAACAGGCATGTGAAACTAAATGCCACACACTCATCAAACAAGATCATCTCCTTCAATTCGGATGTCCACTGGTTTGTAAAAGGTAAACATATTCTGTTTTTACCAACTTCTTATCATTAAAGAGGATTTGTATATTATCATGTAAAAGATATATGAATGTTATATATTTCTGGTCAACTCAAACTTGCAACGCATCTGACAGTTTGTATTTTTGAAGATTTAAAAAACAAGTTGGAGTGTACTCTCCACAATTCTTTGTCCTTGTAGTTTGATTAAAAGCTTATTATCAAACATTCAACACGGGTAAAAACAATATTTGTAACTGAATATAGTTATAAGACATTGTTTAAAGTACAAAATCTATTGTACGGTGAATGACACATGTTTTTGGAACACAAATTTACCTAAAGGCCAATAATTTTGAATAGTAAAAAACATACAACTTTTAATAACTAAATTTGAAACCTGTCAGGTCCCGAACAGAAAAGCCAAGAAATTTTAAGACCAACTCTACCTGAAAGACTCAAGGCAATATGTTATATTCTTTTATAAAAAAATTTCAAAGATACCAAGCTTATCATATTGAAAACAATAAAAAAAAAAAACGTTTACTAACATAGTGAGGTATTACAATCTAAACGTTGATGACAAACAGAAAATTTAACATCAATTACCAAACAATATTGGAGAAAAAATTGACGTATAAACAACAACTAACAACACATTTTACAGAAAGCCTGACTTGGTACAGGCACACACTATAGATTGGTTAAATCAGTATTATGTGTGCACCCAATATCCCAATATGCCTATCTAGACAATATGTCGTAAAAGTAAAACAGCTGCCAATAGATTGACCACTTTCCTTTATACTGAAAAAAAAAAACAGCATGCAATTTTGAAAAACAACATCAAAATGTACTCGCTACTACAGAACTCTAGCTAAGGTAACAAGAGATGTAGGTTGAATACTATTGCTTAAGAAAACAAAAAAAAAAATATCTGAAAACAAATCTTTTTTATTTTTTTTTTTCTAAAATTCAACATGAGAGTAGCTTAGGATCAATACTCATTCATGAAATATGCTATAATACAAAAAAATAGATATATTTATATTATTCATCAAATTATCTTTTATTTTATATTAACAGTTTCCAGACTCTTGTTCACCGCTTCGGACATCCAACATCTGCTCCTATGCCAATGTCTACTTAATTGTGAAGCAACAAAAAATAAATGAACAAGATTTACTGCATCATGGTTTTTTTTATGGATTATTTTAAATTAAGCTTAATCTTTTTTTGTAGAGTGTTGTTGACTGGGGTTGGTTTAGTGTTCATTTTTTGTTTTACCATCGTGTTTTTCTTCTTCACTTTATTTTTTTATTGTCCCCTTGGTATTTTCTATCCTCTTCTCTTTTCTAAAAGACCATTCTCTTTATACAAGTTGAAAAATATTAAGCTAATAACAATGGCATCAATAATATATGTTTTTGCAAAGAACAGATATGTGCTGTCTATGTTTTCGCTCAGAAGATCCCACAACACCATATTACAGTCTATATTATCTTTTTATATGAGACTAAAAAGTCGTCTTCCACATTGTTGTCTTTTTTCTTCCTGGTAGAAATTTCAAAAGAAGAATTAATTCTTCCCTTATAGACTTGAGATTGGAGTATAATATAACGGAAGTATTTTCTCAGCTATGACTATTATTTAGTGTAAAAATAAAGTTCAGTTCAGAGTCTTAAACAATATTAATAAATGCTCATATTGGATGTAAATGGTTTCTCGTTTATGTTATAACAATAAGAAAGACAATAACAATCACAGCTTTTCCTAAGAAAATATATATATTAGCCTCTGAAAATACTTTAAATCACACTTAACTCTTTGGTCTAAATGTGATACGAAATTGACCATGTCCCCAAAAAAAAATGTTAAAACTAAAATCTTATGACACACAATGAATTAAAACTTTGTTTAGTCACGACGTTGCTGCTAATGCTATATTTTATCAAACAAACTGTTGTGAAGTCTTAGCTAAATTAAGTTGAATAGTTAATAGTTCTTTGACTTAATCAGCGAGTGCTTTTTTTCCTGGAATGATTATTAACTATGACCTGCGGAAACGTCAAAAAGCTGATATAAGTGCATTTGATTTTTTGAGGCATTTCGGAAAAAAACCTTATAATATAAATAAGAAGATGTGGTATGAGTGCCAATGAGACAACTATCCATCCAAGTCACAATGTGTAAAAAGTAAACAATTATAGGTCAAAGTCCGGCCTTCAACACGGAGCCTTGGCTCATACCGTACAGCAAGCCATCAAGGGCCCCAAAAAGACTAGTGTAAACAATTCAAATAGGAAAACCAACGGTCTAACCTATATAAAAAACGAGAAACACTTTTGAACCACACCAACAAACGACAACCACTGAACAACAGGCTCCAGACTTAGGACAGGTGCACAAAAATGCAGCGGGTTTAAACGTTTTAACAGGCGCCAACCTTCATCCTAACCTGAAACAGTGGTATAACATTACAACACAAAAAGACACACACACAAATATCAATTGAAATGGCTTAACTCGATCAAAAAGACAATACACAAAAACAAGTAAATATACACTGATCGAATACGTTTGATCTATGACACATTATAAATAAATGAAATATTTCATTGTCTAAAAGCAATTTTATAAGTCTATTAATCCACCATTTTCTACATAAGGAAATGCCTGTACCAATTTAGGAATATGACAGTTGTTTTCCATTCATTTGATGTGTTTGAGTTATTGATTTCGCATTTGATAAGGGACTTTCCGTTTTGAATTTCCTTTGAGTTCGGTATTCTTGATATTTTACTCTTTCATTGCATATTCAATCTGTGCAATTATTATATTACTATCGGAATGTGTTATGTTGCTTCCCTCTGTAAGTATGGTAAGTATGATATAAGCAACAAACAATTAAAATTTGGCTGATTATTAGGTAAGGCATTTATTCAACAATGTTAAACACCTATTGATTTGGAGTCTGATTAAAGTTAAGGTCACAGCTCAATTTATAGATTGAAATAGGGGAAAAGTTTGGGTATAACTGCACCAAATTAAAGTTGAAACCTGCCCTTTTGATTTTTTGGTCAGTGGAACCAATTTCAATGTCATAGTGCCTCTACATGGACTGAAAATTTGGGAAATGTTTCGTTTCCAGAAAATTCATATTGAACCATTAGATATAGTTTTCTCCTTCTTTAGTGGATTATAAATTTTCGATGATCTTATTGAATTTTAGGTCATTGGATCAAAAGTTAAAGTTGTAGTAGTTATTGATAGAGAGAAGTTTTGACAAGTAATCAGTTTTTAGATATCTTTTAAGCTATACGTTTAATAACTTTCACTTTAATTTGATAATAAATGAGGAGAAAAAACGTTGGGCAGAATTGTTTTTAGATAATCAAAATAAGGAGTAAAACTTAGTTTTTGATAATATATTTTAACCATATATCAAACATTACCATATAAAAATAAGTAGATTTGGTGTGATTACCAATTAGACAAATATCCATCCGAGTCCTCCAGCGTTTTCCCGTAAATTTTGACACCTATGCTAGGGAAAATTGACCCAGGGGTACCACCATACGAATAGAAAGATGCACTAAGTAAAAAGTAAAATAACAAAAATATCAAACTCCAAGGAAAATTCAAAACTGAAAGTCCCTTATCAAATGGTAAAATCAACAGCTCAAACGCATCAAACGGATTGAAAACAACTCTCATGTTACTGACTTGGTACAGGCATTTTCTTATGTAGAAAATGGTGGACTAAACCTGGTTTACTAGCCAGCTTAACCATTCACTTGTATGACAGTCTCATAAAAATCCATTTAACCATTTATTAAAGATTAAGCTATTCTAGTCACACTTTAATAACCTGTTGAGCCATTGAGTATAGGACTCCCTTATGAATATTTTATCTTCTAAAGTCGTTTTTGTTAACTCAACGCTTCAAATATAACATTCGTTTTTAACATCATCATTCATAATTATATAAATATATATAACAAATTGGAAAAAATGTTTCAGGTCAAGTTACAGTAAATGGGCTATGTCACAGATTTTTGTATACTTTTGCATACAGCTTTGGCTCGTAATCGATTTACGAGATTCGAACATTGGTTAATATGTCGCCTTACTTTATACCATTTTATTTAAATCAAAGTGTATGTAATGTTTTTTTTAAATATTACTTTTGATAGTTTAATCATTGAGACAAAAAGCGCGAGAGCGCGTTGATATTTCTAAAAACTAGAGCAAAACCAATACCACATAGTAAACAGAAATGACAAATGTAAAACAATTCAAACGAAAGGACATATGCAAGGTTTTGTTATTGCTGTCTGTGCTTTTTTCGCATTTTGCTACTGTATATTTCGAATGCCCACATGGTATCATCTCTTTCTTTTTAAATCTCACAATATGCACGTGCCTTGTCAATGATTGTCTTATCTTATTATTTTTGTTCCCTTTCCATTTCTTTGCAGTAACATTCAAGAGTGTCTGCATATTGAGTGTATATCTCACAGCTGATACGATCTTCAAAGCTTATGTTGCCTATCATAATTTCCTTGATTGATGGTTGCTGTTGACAAGGAAGCTTTGAAATAAGGGTCCTAAAGGTTAAGTTGAAGTCTTTCCTTCGAAAGTTTACGAACGTCTCCACGAATTGTTTGAACATTGTGGAATATTTGTGTCATAGATGACTACGAATATGTTTCAATTTTTTTTATCACTATTTTAGTTTTCACCGTTGTTGTCAGTTTCTCTTCAAATACAGAGTTTTGAATGTCCTCTTGTTATTTCCACCTCTTTTTATTATCAAGTTTACAATATTGACAGTGTTCAGTTTGTTGTTGTTGTGTTATTCTTCTATTTTGACAAATAATATTCTCTGAAGTTGCAAAGAAATTCAACTAAGTTAACAAATAGTTCCCTTTTATTTATACCTATATGTTATGCAATTACTTGCTTTTAACCCGATTCATCATTTTTTTTGTGGTCTTTGTTTTCGTTTTTGTCTTCCTGTCGATACCAATTAAATACTACAATAATAAGTCTAAGAGCCTTTAAATTGGTTCATCTATATTAATAAATGTATTAAAAAAAATACATCATAGTGACGCACATGTTTTGGTGTTAAGTTACTGTTGTGTTATTTCCGTTTACACAGTTGCTGATGTTGTTACGTATCCGAAGCGATAAATTGAGCTCTGTAAACTGAAACATAATATTATTTTAACATAATAAACTAAATAACATTAATTGGAAATTATGTCAATACATGACATACATTGTTTTCTCCACCGATTATAAAAGATCAATATAAAGATACTTTCCAGCTGATAAATTTTCAAGCAGGCGATTTCACATTATACATACAGATAAGGATAATATAAAGTCAGTTGTTAATAATTTCTGCTGTTCGCACTAAGGGTCTAACAAATAGATAAGCCGAATAGCATATTCTTGTTTTTGTTGATAACGTACATGATAATCATTCAAGAAAATTTTAGTCTTGACTTTTCGAAAACAGGCGACATATTGTTAAAATTAACAAATATAAATGAAATTTTCATCAATTAAGGTATGACTGGACGATATACAATAAATCAATCCATTATAGAAAGCAAAAATTAAAGCAATATGATGCTCAAATTTGTGTTCAGTATCATTTAGTTTCTGCAGCCTTTTCCTCAAACAATCATCGGAAATAATATGAATAAGTGGTTTTTCTCAAAAAATCATAGAAGATCAATGTGAAGATACTTTCCAGATGATTACTTTCAAGCAAGCGATTTCACAAAATACATTCAAACAAGATTAATTTAAAGTTGTAAATAGTTAACTTTCAATGTTATGACCAAGCGACTATCAAAACTCATAAGTCAAATAAAAAAAAAAAACAAACGTTCCACAAGACACAGAAAACTAAAGATTCAGCAGCATGTTTTTTTCACAAGAACATACTATTCTAATGCAAGGTACGTATAAAATAAAGTTGTGGTGTTATTTGTGCATTCATTCTCGTTTTTATATAGATTAGACCGTTGGTTTTTCCGTTTGAATGGTTTTACACTAGTAATTTTTTGTGGCCCTTTATAGCTTGCTGTTCGGTGTGAGCCAATGCTCTGTGTTGAAGGCCGTACCTTGACCTATAATGGTTTACTTTTATAATTTGTAACTTGGATGGAGA